CCCAGGCGGCCCGGCAGGCTCAGCACCGGCTCAGACACCACGTCTCCGTTCAACACCTTTTATTTGGGGGGGGTCGCAGTCCCGAGGGCACCCAGACTTGGGCCCCCGCTCCGACACATCAGCTGCACGCCTCCGGCGGAGGCCCCGCTGCCCATCCCCGCTGCCTTCGGGCTGGAGGGGCCACCCCAGGGAGAGGGGCCCCGGCCCCGAGGCAAGTCCTGGTCCCCTGAGCCTTCGGGGTCGGGTGGCTACCGGCCCCAGGCTCCCTCTGACTCGTAGCCCTCCGTCTTCATGTCGTTCAGGCCCAGGTCTTCGTTCTGCTCAAAGGTGCGCTCGTAGCACTCCACCCTCAGCTCCGGGTCCTCCTCCGGGGCGTACACGTTCTGCGGGGCGAGAGGGAGGGCTCCTTCACACCCCTCTTCTCAAAGTCTCGGGCGCCAGCACCCCTCAGGAACACCCCAACAATGGCAATGGGCTTTGGACAAGATCCCCCACCCCCAGGGAGAGACTTGTCCATCACCCCACAGAGAGCACGACGCGGGCCAGCCCAGACCACCCCATTCCCTGCCCCTAACCCCGGGAGCAGACACCGCTCCCCTCTTCCTTCCCACAAAGCCACCGGCAGTTTCCTTGCCCCGGAGCGAGCCCGCAGCAACCCACTCCTTACCAGAGCCCAGAAGGGAACCCGGCCCACCACCACATATCAGGGAGATAAGGAGAAAAGCCACTCAAACTGCTCAAGAGGCTTCAAGGAGTTCGTCCTTCCAGTGCCCAGCACCGTACCTGAAGATAGCTGTTGCCTGCAGGGTCATCCATGATCAAGTGAGCCTTCGCCCTTCCCTCTGTGATCTGCAGAAAGAGAGCACGTCCAGGCACGAAGGCTCTTTCTGACCCTTCAGCACTTCTGGCACCAAGACATTCACAGCACACCAGTTCTAACATTCTCCTCCGTTAAAAAAACAGTAATAGCTCGATAAAACAAGCAAGGACGTGGCAGGGCAAGCACGGAACAGCTAGAAAGGGTAAGACGACACTGGCCGAGGGGTTTGGTTAAACGTATTTCAGAGCTGCAGCGACAGCGGCGAAAACCACGTTGCAGAGCATGGAAAACGAAGAGCGCGCTCACCTCATGCAGCTTCCCAAGGAACTCTTGCAGCTTTTCCGTTTTGCCGGGCGTAGAGCTGTCCCCCAGAGTGAAGGGGTTTCTCTCAACCTGGAGGAGCAGACCCGCTCGCTCAGGCAGCTGCGAGACACCCAGCCCCACAGCCAGGCCAAATACTAACGCGGAGCGGTCTGAGCTCCGCCAGGCAGCAGCGCGGCTCCGCTCACCAGGTCTCTGATGTCCTTCAGCAGCCCTTCCAGCGTGGTGAATTTCCCCCCCAGCGCTCCCATCCCCAGCTCGAACTCCAGCTCTGGGATCTCCACGCTGCAGGTCTCCGACTGCAAGGGCAAGCACCCCCGTGAGTCCCCGGGGGTGGATGGCTGGGCGCCGCGCACCCACCGCCGGAGGACAGGGCAGGTATCCCAGGCATCGTACCTTTAGGATATCCCTCGTCATGTCGGAAGGGTCTGTAATCCGAAGGGTAATCCTGGTGCCTTGCGGTTCGATTGCTCCTCCGGACTTCACCTAGGAACACCCGGTGGTCAGCTTCACGGACTCTACTTAAATCAGGTCACGATGCTTTAAGAGGGTTTACCCCGAGCCGGAGGACAGGGCAGGTATCCCAGGCATCGTACCTTTAGGATATCCCTCGTCATGTCGGAAGGGTCTGTAATCCGAAGGGTAATCCTGGTGCCTTGCGGTTCGATTGCTCCTCCGGACTTCACCTAGGAACACCCGGTGGTCAGCTTCACGGACTCTACTTAAATCAGGCCACGATGCTTTAAGAGGGTTTACCCCAGCAGCTCAGAGGCTGCTCCAAACCCAGGGATGGTGCCTTAACCCAGGGGAGGTGAGCAGGTGTGGAGATGGCTGACTCTTCAGGACCAAATTCTCCCCCTTCGCTCGTTTAGGAAGGGCAGCCAGACCCAGGCTGACCTCGCTGCACATGCCAGCCTCCGCACAGCTCGCATATGGTCTGGCCCCCCGCCCGAAGCAAGCAAGGCAGCTCTGCTACACCCAGCGCAACGCACCTCACGACACTGCCCACAAACCCAGCCTCCCTCCCAGCCTGGCTTCCCAAAATAGCCGCAGCAAAGTGGAGGCTGAGGACTCAGAGAAATTAAACACCTACCCACAGAAGCAGAGAACACCGCTCCCCCTCCCCACCGCCCCCAAAAAAGGGTCAGTAGTTTTCCAGCTCACCTCATTTGTCCTGTGCCCACAGGAGTCGCAGTTTGTGGCCATGATAATGACTTCCTTGAAGTGTGGGATCTCTGGAGCAGACCGTCAAGGAAAACTCAGCGAAAGGAAAGCCTCAAAGCAGCAGCCCGTGCCCTCTTCACAGCCTCGGTCCTTCCCGAGGTATTGCAGGAGCTCGCCAGCAAGCTGTGAGCAGCACCGAGAGAGATTTGCACCCTGAGGGGGCCTACCAGAAATAATTCCTTTGTGCTCCGTGGGTGCAGCGGGAAGGGAGCTGGGTCAGCAGCACACAGAGCGACTCTCCCCCCCCCCGCCAGCCTCCATGCAGACCCCTGCAGAGGGCACCGATCCGCACCCATGCCCCCACGCAAAGGATACGCACTAACTTCATGTTTGTGTTCGCTGGAGCGTTGCACTCTGGGCAGTTGGTGTTGAACTGCAGGACCTGGGTCACAGGAACGGAAAGGAGAATCAGAAAGTCCTGGCCAGCCCAGAGCGCCCGTCCTGGGTGCCTGGCCTGGCCGCCATCGCACTGGAGGGTCACCCACCTCGTTCCGCAGGTCCTCCACCGAGTCGGCTGGCTTCTCATCCAGCTCCTCTCCCTGCAAAAGGGGAGACCAGAAGCAGCATGAACGTCTCAATTCAGGGTCTCCCAGAGAGCGAGGGGACTGACCAGCCCTGCTCCCCCAGGCTCGGCGGCAGCAGCTCCCCGTTACCTCCAGTCCCAACATGGCAGCCTGCTGGGGAGTCCTCCTGTAGCGAGTGACCACAAGGGCGTCGTCCTTCTGCGGTGCGTGAGGGTTCTCCACAAAGCTGTTCCCCGAAGGATCATCTATGATCTACGGGAGGATGAAGCCTTAGGAAGCTGTCCCGTGCTTCCCCCGCCCAGAAAGGGGCTGCGCTTTCATATGTACTCACAAATGTGAAGGAGGAATGTACTTCTTTCAGCTGCTTTAGTTTACCGATGAACTCATCTATTTTCCTCGCCACCTCTTCGTCCGTCGCCTGCAAAAGAGGACACGTTTGAGACTGATGCCCGGGAAGCCCAGGCACAACGCTGACAACAGCACAAACTGGGGAGCCCGTAACGCTCCTCTTGCCAGCCATGGGCAATGCCAATAGGCAGAGGCTGAACAAAACAGGCACTTGCCAAGCAGGCGCCCTGAGGAGCCTCCCCTTTCACAGCACCTTACCCTGCGGACGGGCTGGTCCTGCTCCAGGCCCGCAACAGCTCTGTCTATTATCCCTTCGATGGTGGTAAGAACTTGAGAAGGGGAGAAAACAGAAGCAATTAAGTACCCCACAGCGGTGCTACCCACCCTGCCAGCTCACACCGACCCCCAGCAGCCTCCGTGCTGGCCCTCTCAAGCTTATTTGACCCAACAGACGGGAGACTGGGTCCTTAACCTTAACTGCCGAGGGGTGCAGGGCACGTACCCACCTCCCTTCTGGGTGAAAGCAGGGATCTCAAAGTCCAGCTCTGGAATTCGAGCCGTGGCGCAGTCGGTCTTCACCACCTCCCTGTTCATGTCCTGCACGCGACAGTTGAGGAGCGGCGTTAGGATCCCCAGCGGGAGCAGGAGCTCCCACCCGCCAAGCGCCC